CTGGCAGACATCCTGGTGTGGTCTGAGACCACCATGGGCATGGCCACAGGCATCCTGGCCTCTGGCCACGGCTCCGTGACAGACCTGCTGCACACCACGGGGCCCGGCCTGCACTCTGTCTCCAGCATCCTAGGGAGCGCCAGCTCTGCCTTCTCCTCTGGGCTGGCAGAAGGGACCATATCAGCCCTGCGCACCATCACCCACATCCTGGAATCAGTGGAGCAGAGGACCATAGAGGGCATCCGCTCAGCCGTGCGCTACCTGACCAGCCACCTCACCCCAAGCCAGGCCCAGGCCGGCCCCAACCTCAACTAGATTCTGCATTCCACGACCTTCCAAGACCCCAGGGACACTCATGTCCTGCCCTGGACGGCTCTCCCCGAACTGGGCAATAAATCACCAGTCAGCGTTTATTTTCCAAGCGCCAGCCTCATCCCTTGTTTGTTCAGTGGGCACAGGATGGAGGGAGATGAGGGGGCGGCGGTGTTCTGGAAACAGAAAAGTGTCTCCTGAGGGCTTCTTGGGTTGTCCCTTTCGGGGTTAGGGGCCAAGGTACAGAAAGACAAGAGCCTGGGCAGGTCTGAGAGGCCAGGCGTGGAGGGTTCAGACCTGCAAAAATTGATCCTGGGTGGACCTCCAACCAGGCAAGTGCGTTTCTGGGGAGCTGAAACCTGCCCCTTCCCCGGGGCTTTAGGCTCAGGCCACCCTGCTGCGCCCTCTGAGAGTGGGGTTGAGCACAGAGCAAGACCAATGTAGGCTCAAACCCCAGCAAGGCTACTGGCCGTGGGCCGATCACTTCACCCTCTGCAACTCCAACTGTCATCTGTAGAACAGGTAACAAATCCACACCATGAAGATGTTATGAAACGTGAGGGAAACAATGCAGCTCCTAACACATGATGTCTGGTACTTAATGAGCTCACATATTTCAGCTGCCATGATGATTGTCCACCAGCGGGCTGGGGACATGGTGGGAAGAGGGATCGGATCTAGCTAGGGTGCCCAACCGTCCCAGCTGGCCTGGGACTAAGAGGGTTCTTGGGATGTGGGACTTTGGGATTTAAAACCAGGCAAACCAGGACAAGTTGGTCACCCTAGACCCAGGTCTCTACATGCTTTTTACTCTTTTTTGTGATTTTGTCCATTTTGAAAAGGGAGCTTTGGAAAGCCACCAGCCTACCCTCTGGCTGGACACAGTGCATCTGGCAGCCTGATGTGGTGAGTGACGCTTCGACACCAGCCCTGACTCCTGCCCTCAGCTGACGACTTACATAGGTCACACCCCACACACCTTCATGCTGCAGCCCTGGCTGTGAATTTGTCCATTCATGCATTCCTCATTCCCAGCAGAATCTCCAAATCCTTGGCTGAAACCAGCCCATTGATGGATTTATTTGCCCCAACATAGTGTTTCTTAAGTTGTGAATTAGTTACCAACATTTCAAAGCAAGGAAATTTTAAATAAAAATATGGATTTCTGCTTCTCTTGAAAACCTAAGAACCTTTTTTCTTCAGGGCAACTGGCAACGGAGCTGACCCCTTAGAAGGAGCTGCATGGTCTACATCAGTACTGAGGTCACCTGCCTGACCACAGAGGCATGCGTTTACCTCCCTTCCTGGGCCAGCAGATGGCTCATGTGAGGAAGTCTGGTGCCCAGGGATCCCAAGGGGATGAAAAGACAACCCAGTGTGTCCACCCCCTTCCCTCAAGGAGATGCCACTTTCTATAAGTGAGTCGTGAACTGTCCCCATGTAGTGAAAGCAAAGAATTCAGAGAAGGGAGACTGACAGTTCAGATCCCAGTATCAGGGCCTCCTTGAGTCAAACCTAAAAGGAGAGGAGAGATGGTGTCCCCAACAGAGGTGTCGACAACGAAAGCCGAGGCAGGCGTGATGGGTGCTTGGTTGGGGAGGGGGGCCAAGCAGCTGAACTTGACCGGAGCCCAGAGCAGAGAACAGGTGATAGAGTTGCCAGGGTGAACCCCAAACACTTTCAACCAATATTTGTTTAGCCAGGTAAGTGCCACTATGCTCCAGGCAATGCTAGATACTGCGACTGCAAAGTGAATGAAAGTTGGAAATAACAGAAACAAAGCTCAGAAAGAGAAATAAAAATACCATATGATATCTCTCATATGTGGAATCGAAAAAAAAAAGGACAAAATGAAATTTAACAAAAC